TCACAGGAAACCAGGCTGCGTCCCCGAGTGCCCACTTCCTGGATGGCTGGAACGGGGGTGGCCTCAAACTGTCACCGGCAGCCTGGGGACAGTGCTTCGCAGCTAAAACCAGCCCTGGACAGTCCAGAGTAATCACACGCCATTCAAAGGGTGTAACAAGAGCCAGTTATAGTAGAGACCTCAGAGGAGGGGCTGGGGACGGGGCAGGGGGTCGGGAAGAGGAAGACATAACCCTGGGCCTGTCTGCGGGAGACACTGAGGGTCAGGACAGGCCCAGGGGCATGGGAAGCCCGGGAGAGGGACAGGGCAGCCACAGGCTCCAGTCTCTGGTCTGTCTGCTGGCTACCCTCTGCCCACCTGGCCCCTAGATGTATCCCAACCAACCCCAGGGAGATCTAACTTCTCTGCAGGCCTGGCGCCTGTGGACACCATAGGGCCTGGACGGGAGAGGGCCCTGAGGGTGCAGCCGGGAGCTTCCTGGTCCCTTTGTTTTTTTCCCCAAACCCTGAGAGTCCAGGCACCTGGCTTCGGCCTCATCTCTCGTTCTAAAGAAGGCAGACGGAGGAGGTGTGGGCCGAGGTGCGTATGTCTACAGTTCGGCCTTTCTAACGTTTCCTTCCAGCCTTCTGTCCAGGTGACCAGCTGGCTGGGGGCACAGACACACAGAAGGTCTCTGTCCGAGCCCTGCCCTAGACGGTCTGTGGTGTCCACTCACTGTTATCCTCAATGGGAAGACCCACCCTCTTGCACCCTGGGCCTGGAGGTGGGGCTGTGTGCTGGGAGCACCCCGCAGACAGTGAAGTACACCTCCCACCCAAGGGCCCAGCAGACCGGGGCTCAAGGGGCAGCTGTGGGGATGGGCTGTACTGCGCTCTGAGAAGCTAGCAGCTTGACATCCACATGAAGGTGACAGGCCCTGATGGGAACTCCCTTGGTCTGGCTCAGAAGGAGCAGAGGTGGGTATGGGACCACGGGCCTGCCCAGGCTGAGCAAGCGGCTGCTGTCCACCTTCATGAGCAGGGGTAGCAGCGGTGGGTGGTCAGCCAACTCGGCTCCAGCCCAGAGGGACACCTCACACCCCGGCCACTCTGAGGGGTGGTGCTGGGATGGGGTGCTCAGAATGGGGAGGTGACTGGGTGGGTGTCCTGGCCCCTCACAAGCAGTGTGGCTGGGGGAGGAATGCAGCGAGGCAGAAGACTGATGTGCTGCTGAAACAGGGAACGCGGCCGGTGCCCTGGGCCTGCTTGGGCTGCCAGGGGCCGGGCTCCCATCTGTCTGCTGCGACGGTGGCCGAGATGGGGAAGGCTGTTCAGCTCATGTCCACAGCCTGACATGTGTGCGTGTGTCCTGCAGAAGCCCCACCTCCTCTCTGATCTGGTGGACGATGCACGGGCAGACGAGTCCTCCCCCAGGCTCTCGGCCTACACACATGCCAGCCAGGTCAAGTCCCTGCCTCAAGACGCAGGGACTGGGATCAAGTCACATCTGGTGGGCAAAACCCTCCCTTTAAGGCAGCGCGGGTACCCTCCACATGTGCACAGGCACATACAACCACACACATGCTCTCCCCTCCTCCCCCGACAAGTGAGGCGGGGACAAAGCCATTTCTGAAGCTGCTTTCAGTCACTGTGCCCAGAGACCGGCAACGGCGGGCTCTGAGGGCCGGGCCAGCAGTGCGCTGGGGCCGGCATCTGAAGCTCCTACTGTGGACGGAGAGGTCAGCAGCACCGCAGAGGAGGGTCTGGCCATCTGCCCTGGGAAGTGGACGGACAAGGCCATCTGGCAGGCCCATGAGGTCCTGCCTCACTGAAGCCCAGGAAGCTGAGTGCCCACCAAGAGTGCAGCTGTGAGTGCTCCCGAGGTGGTGTCCCGGCCACCCCATCGCACTACGCCTGCCCTCCCCACCACCAGTAAGCCCCGGTGGCACCTCGGTGACATGCTGGGCAGCCACAGGAGGGCTGGCAATGCAGACTCCTTCGGCTGCTCCGAGGGAGGAAGGCCCGGATATCGCCAGGAAATGGACCTCGGCGGCGCGGCCCACTATCACTGCTACACGGGCACCCAACACCGCTGCCCTCACAGTGACGACAAAGACGACACCACCACCACCACCACGCCTGCCAGCGTTTCCGCCATGGACCTCCTGGGGTCTCCTGGGACGCCGGGCCCCACCCAGCCCCGTGGGGACAGTGGGAAGTGGGAAAGAGACACCCGACACTTAGAGCTACCCTCGTTCATGGCGGCACTGAACGGCTCTGCCTGCCAATGCTGACAGCCGCTACCGAGTCCCGACTGCCACACCCCCCCCCAGTGTTTATTTAAGCCAGCACATTGCTCTGCTAATTGGATAACATTCCATGTGAAAATAGACCTTTTAGAACAACAGCGGCGGTGGCAAATAAAAACAGCTGCAACTGCAGAAGTACAAAGGGGAGGCAGGGGGGTGGGGAGCCGTGCGAGTGGCTGCTGGGGGGTGGTGTCCTGCCTGGCCCATCCTCCTTGGGTCTCGGTGCCCCTCTCTGCTCATCCCTCCGTGCTCAGCTGGGGCTGGGAGGGGAGCAGGAGGCAGGCGCTCCTGGATGGAACCCCAGTGGTTTAGCAGTGGCCTCTCAGCCAATGGGGACAGGCACATCTGGCTAGGAGTCCCTTGCTCACCTGCCCAGGTACCTGCTGCTGCTGGTGGGAACTGGCACAGTAGCACCTGCTGGCCTGCCTCTGTGGGCCCAACTCCCTGTGACCCCATGCACCACCTACACGGAATGCTGCTCTGCCCGGTGCCAGCCCCACCGTTGGCTGGGGCTCAGATTACTGGTCCCACAGGGTTTCCGTGGCTAGTCTTTGGAAACTGATCGCCAGGCCTTTCTTCCTAGTTTGGCTTGGTCTAAACCTTCAGGCAGCCGTCAGCGTGTGCACACGCCCTGGCCTCCCTGACGGATGTGGAGGCGGGGTGGGAGGAGCTCAGCAGCAGAGAAACTGGGGGTGCGTGGATGGCTACAACTCTCACGAGCGGAGCCGTCAACGACCTCGGTGGGTGAGGGGGGAATATTTCAACCTCGAGGCGCCTGTGACTGGCAAATCCCCGTGAGTGAGGGAAGACCTTGGTGATGGGAGAGGAGGGGCAGGTGCTGGGCTCAGCACACACACACATAAAGGAAGGGCAGGTGTCCTTGAGTCCCCAGCTTTGGGATCAGTGACCTGTGGGCATCCCTGACTCAGCCAAGGGCTGGCAATCACCAACCTGGGCCTGCAGTTGACTTTCCTTTGGGCCTCCACCCACCTCACTCCCCCGTCCTGCAGTGCAGTGGACACACGCACGGCCCTGGTTTTGGTCTGTGTACAGGGGTCCCCCAGCAGATCTTTTACCCACTACTGTGAGCCATCCTGGCAGACACGTCCCTGCACAAAAGGCTGCGCATAAGACTGCGGACCCGGGTCCCAACCCCGGCCCTATTCCCTGACGCCCGCCCAGCGGGGGGAGAGTGAGAAATGCCTGCTCATCGTGCCTGGAGGCTCAGACAACACCGGCGCTCTCCTAGGACTGACGTTTTACTTCTGGGACGAGACGGGGTGTTGGGAGTGGGGGGTGTTCATAAAGTGTCCTGGGTGGGGAGAATGTGCTCGCTCATCGAATAGTCCACCCAGGGTCCGTGATTGACAAGGGCAGATGGCCATGTCCCTGCCCCAGGTTGCCACTGTGTCTCCTGAACAGAGCCAGGGGCTGGCCTGGCCTGCCATCCCATCCACCTACAGGGATGGAGAGCGGCTCTGAACAGCAGTGCTCTGCCCACCGCCTGAAGCTAACAGGCTGGGGCAGGGGGAGGGGGGCGCACGCACGGGGGCCATACAAACTGGGTGATGGTGGGGCCTTGTATGTGTGATGACCCTGGATAGGCTTCCACCTGGGGGCCTCCCAGTTTGGTGGGGAGTGGGCTTGACCCGCAGAGACTTAGTGGAACGCATTCTAGTGGCCCTAGGCTGGCAGACAGCGGGTGCCTGTGTTTAGGGCCAGACCAGAGACGGAAGTGTGGAGGGGATTCGTTTGGGGGCTGACCAGGCCCTCATTCTTCTACCCCTGCCAGCTGGCGAGGTGGCCAGACAGGCGCTGGGGAGAGAGCACTGCAGTGGGAGTCCGTATGCTTCTCCAACAAATTCTCTTCCCCCTTTTCTCCCCTAACGCTGCCCTGCCCTTTCCTTTTACTCCCCCCACCCTCAACAACCCGCTGCCATTGAGCCATTCTGACTCAAAGCGACCTGACCCTCCCCCCACATGCTGGAGACAGAGAAGAACTGCACCCCGCCCCGTCCGTTGCCCCTTGGGATTTCCTCGGCTGTCAGCTTCAGGAAGCAGGGAGCCAGGGCTTTCCCCCGTGGCTCTACAGGACGTGTCAGAGCAGCCACCCTTTAGGTGAGCAGTTGGCTCAGATTTCCTGGCTGTGGTCTCTAGTCTCGGCCCCTCATGCCAGAGACAGCCACCTGCCTGCTGGGGAGGGAGCCTGGACCAAGCCTGGATGGGAATCCAGGGGCAGTCTTCCACTGGCCTGGGCCGGACAACAGCCTCGGTCCTCAAGAGGGGCTCACAAAGAGAAAAGCTTGGGGGGAGTGTGTCCAGACACCAGGGCCCCAAAGCCCCTGCAGGGGGCCACACCAAGAATGAGAGCCGGTGTCCCTCTCTGTGTGTCTCCGGCAGCACGCGCCCCCCCCCCCACCGCCCCTGTGTTAACGAGATGATTTACAACGCTCAGATCTCCTTCACCCACAGGCTGAGCACGCTTCCCGCGGGTCAGCGCCGAGTGCGCGGTGCTCCACTCAGGAGACAATGGCTTCTTCACACGGGGAGGAGGAGAGAGAAGCAATGGCGGCTTCCGGGGGGTGAAAAGAGCAAGGGATCTTCGCAGGAGAGACGCGCACATGGCGGCTCCCACGTTCAGGGAGAAGGCAGCTGCCACAAGGGCCCGCGTCCCGGGGAGGGAGAGCTGCTCTGTCTGCCCTGCTGAGGGGATGGCAGGGCCAGAAATAGCTCCGGGGCCTCCGGGGTGGGCCGGTGGGAGGCGAGGGGCTGCCTTGAGCCAGCGCTGTCCTCAGCTGCCCTCCCTCCTCCTTCCCAGAGTCCCGAATGCAGGCCGGGGAGGGGCTGCCTCTGCCAGTCCCCTCCATGCCACCCCGAGTCTGCGAGCACACACCTGAGGCACTGCCTTGGCCCCAGGCACAAGCCCACCTTCTGATTCGTAGGTTGGCACCCTGAGACGGGCATGTGGTCGTGGGGTGCTGGCAGGCGGGCGGTGAGGGGAAGGCTGCCAGCTGGGGGAGGGGAGCAGGTGTGCGGGCAGGCTGGCGAGTGTGGTAACAAAACAGGCACTTGAGCTCCCACGCAACTAGCCCCTGCCGAGGACAGACGTGGCCGGGGCACTCAAGGGCCTGGTGTGCACCGTCTGTGTGCGTTCCCAGGGCCCACAAAGGCTGACTCACCCTCTGACGCCAAGCTACCACACAAGATGCTTACTCTGGGGCAGAGGGGCCTGGCTTTCCTGTGGGACGCTGTGTCCCAGAGGGGCAGCCCAAGGGCACAGAGGGAGCCCAGTGCACCCACCCAACCACACTCAGAGCCCCTGATGTGAGCAGGGGGTCCTGGGCCGGCTTGGGTCCCTCCCCCCATGTGACCCTCAGGCCCCCTGAATAGGTGACATGGGGGTCAGGGAATAACGGCAGTCCTTCCCTCTTAACAAAACCTGCTAGGCTCCTTCCTCCTAGGGCACAGCGGGGGCAGCCTGGGACCGGAGCCCCAGCAAGGCGCTGGGCGACTGACCTTTGCGTCCTGCTTGGTGAGGAAGTCAACAAAGCCGAACCCTCGGTGGGCGCCCGTCCCGGCCAACTTCTTGGGCAGACGCACCGTCTTCAGCTCTCCGAAGGTGCTGGAATGGGAGAATCCTGAGGTTAGGGGCTGAGGCTAGCTAGCGAGTGCCCTTCAGGTTGTACAGGACACACGAGAGCAGTATGTGTGCACACAGATGCACCACGTGCACACACACATCCATGCAAGCTCAGGACATATTCGACCCTCTCTCCCTGGGCCCGGCCATCTAACTGGGCAGGGGAGGAGCTGGCCAGGCTGGAGGCAGAACTCTTGGCTCCTCTCCTGCCCACTCACCTAACCTGGCCGCCATCCGTGATGCAACCCGGTCCCAGTCCAGTGTGCAGAGGTGACATGGCTCCCACACACCTGCCTCTCCTCTGAGGGCCCTGCTGGCTAGCCAGGCAGCCAGAGCCCATGACAAGGATCTCCCCAGTGGGGCTCAGGCCAGCAGAGGGTGGCGACCACGCCACTTTGCTCTCCTCTCCTGCCCAGGCATTTGAGGGATTCCCGGACAAAAGGCCTGTGGTGTCTGCAGGCAGGTCCCTCGCCTGCCCGTCTCCCTCGTGTCCACTGATCAAACCTATGAGCGCAGAGTGCTGCTGATAAATATTTAACGTGCCTGGCATCTGAGCAGAGGTGTTATTTTATTTGAAAACTGACACAGGCTGGTGGGCACTTGGACCCTCATGCAGGCCCTGCTGGTCCCAGAGGCTGCAGGGCCAGGGACCACCTGAGTGAGACACACCGTGAAGGCCGGCGGGTCTCCGCAAATGATGGCAGTAGCTCCATCGAGGCGGTGTACCCCAGCCCTGCCAGCATGACGAGGCATCTGCCGGCCCAATTTCTGATGGCAGCCTGTGCGGGAACGCAGCGTGATGAGGCCCGGGAGCCCATCTTCACATCCCCTCACAGCTCGGCTCTCCCTCCTGGCGCCAGCCAGCTTGCTCCAGGCCGACTGGGGCTCCGTTGGTGGACCCCTGCGGGCTGGGGGACAGGGCAGCTCCCTGGGCGAAGGAGAAGGCCAGAGGCCCACTGGTAGGGCTGGGGCAGGGCCGGGCGGTGCAGGGTCACCAAGGCAAGGCTGCAAACCCAGCTCCATGCTGCCACCTACAGGCCAGCGGGGCCCATGGCAGACGTGCTGCTGCTCTGAACCAGGGCAGGCAGGGACTGAGTTTCCTGCAGACACGGCTGCAGTACCCTGGTTTGTGTGTGTGTGTGTACGTGGCTGCCCCAGTGCAGACAGTGGCTGGTGCATGCACACCCGAGGAGCACAGCTGGCCACGGTCATACTGTGTGTTTTTGTGATGAGATGGTCATGGTGGTT